AGTAATAGTAGTAGTAGATATAAAGATAGTAAAGAAGAAATAATAAGGGGAAGAGATATAGTAAGGAGGGGAGAATAGAAGAAGGAGGGGCAGAGATGATCAGTAGAAGAGAGAGAGTAGAGATAGAAGAGATATAGGTAGAGATAATCAATAAGAAAGAAGTAAGAAGAGCAGAAATAGTACTTCTAATAAATTGAATCAAAGGTCTAATTCAATTTAATTCAAATCAAATCAAAGATCCAATTCAATTCAATTTGGACATATTTTCATCAAGTTATTATATTTTAAAAAATAGAATTCAAATCAGACCCTCAATTTAATTCAAATTTGATTCAAATGACTCTCAATTCAATTTGATTTGAATTGATTTGATTTATTTGAGAGTACTAAGCAGAAGAGAGAGAAGATAGAGATAAGAGAAGTAGAGATAGAGATGACTGATAGAAAAGAAGTAAGAAGAGAAGAGATAATAGAGATAGTAAAAGGGAGATGAAATAATATAATAAGAGATATTGAGTTAATTATAATATAACTGATATCTAATTTGATATTAGTATTTAAGTAAGATCATATTTAAGACTATATTGACTTCTAGAGATTCTTTTAAGGACTGTAGAGTTAGAGTTGACTTCATAGAGAATAGTTTTAGAGACTGTAATAATAGTAATAGAGTTAAAGATGACTGAAGAGGTTTACTATAAAGTTAGTAAACATAGTATATATCAGTCTATTGATAAAAATAATTATGATATTTTCCTATCCAGAATGAGCTGGAAGATTTCAATTATTCTATTAATATAGATAGAATAAATAATATTGAAGCAAATGTTTATTTTCATTCCTAAATCTCTATCTTGAGATATTGTTACTCTATCTCAAGATATTGTTACTCTGTCTTAAGATATTATTACTCTGTCTTAAGATATTGATAACCTTTTGCAGAGATCAGAGATGATTGTTTTTAGTAGTTCATTCAGCACTATATCTGAAGAACTTGGCTGCTCTTCTGGTATTAGGTTTGAGTTATTCATATTTAAAATACTTAAGCAATAATCTATTGAATCATATATAATATATATCAATAAGAGATTTTATCTATAAAGCTATATATAGAGACAGAATAGTTAAAATCATAACTAACAGAATAGCTAATTAGCTACAGTACTGTCAAAACTATAATCAAGAGTAAAATTATGTCTTAGATTAGATATCTTTGAGTATATAAGTAGACCTCTGAGTATGAGAGCAGATCTTAGAGTATATTAATAGTATTTTGTAAGTTTATATATATATATATATATATATATTACAGTTACTTGAACTTTACTATTTATTACTCATTCAGTCTATCAAGATATAATTACAGTATCCCAACCCACTACCCAATTCCTCTAAAGGAACTTTCTCCCATATCTTTATAATTGAATACTATCTTACCATCTACTACTATAACTCTTCTTTCACTCTGCTCACATATCTTCTCCACCAAGTAGTACCAATAACTCTCTTGCAGACTCTATCTCAGTCACCAACCCATCAAGACATTCCCTATCAACCCTTTTTATCTTATTAATCTCTCTCTCAAACTCAACTACTACTTCTCCTCAAAAACAAACAACTAGTGTCCAGCCAATCTCATCTATACAGCTAAAATCCATCTAATAGTAATCTACTTATTTCCAACCCCATCCACCAATCTATCCCTCAAATTCTCCCATTGATCCCTCTCATCATTCCTTCTCCTCACAACATCCAATCAATCTCCAATTACTAACCAAATATCTCCAAATATCTTTAATATTCTAGTGTCTATATGTATAAGCCCCCATTTCTGCTCTATATTATAATACTCCTCAAGTCAAATTTTCCACCTTCTATAAGGTGGTCTGAATAAAAGTTGAGTATGACATTTCTCCTCAACAAGTGCTACCATACTACTCAGAACTTAGACAGTAGCCAGCACCATACCTCAGTACTCCAGAACTAAATACTATCTCAGTTCTACTCTTTATCAATACCTGCTATCTGCTAGTCACTAGACCATACATTCTGTCCTAACTCTCTCTGATACTTCACCCTATTATCAATATTAAAGTCAACCAGTAGAGTACCTCCCAACAACACTTAATCTTATCTCTATATCACTAGGTCCTATAGTATCTCTCACTCAGCCCTCTGCCAGTAAAGACCAATATAGTGTACCCCTTCAACTACTCTCTACCAGAAGTCCCTATGTTACATATACTTACTGTCTCTAAGTCCAACCAAAGACAGTAGATCTCTTAAGGAATCTCTTGGTGAAAATCTCATCTCCCAGACCTTTTACATTAGAGGAATCCAGTCACCTCTTCTCAGTTCTACAGCTCTCTTCAGTCACTATGTTCTTAGACAATACAGTCTCTTTGGAAAGTCAACTAGTCTAAGACCTCCTCTATTCATAAATATTAACAGAATATTCCAACTAATCTGACTCCATCTCTCAGCCCAGATTCAGTCCTTGGCTAGCTTCAATAATCTCTTCACCACTCAGGTCAGAAAGTCTAAATAATATACCAAATACTACAGCTTCAGAAGTCAGTAGATATTCAGAATTGAAATGCAGTCTACTAAAGAGATATGATAGCCACCCCAGCTATATAGAGCCTCTCTCCAAATAACTATCTATTACTCCCACTAAGTTCTAAATAGGACTGATCTATAGACTGAAAGAAAAATTCCCAGATACTGCACAGTATCTCCAGTAGGGACAATTGTTCCAATGATATTCCCTCTTACTAGACTATTATTCAATACTATCATTTTACACTTATATTAGTTGAGTTTCACTCCAGAGTACACCTCATACTACTCCACTGTTTCCTTAAGTACTCCTACATCTGCAATTAATCTAAGGCCAACTACTATGTTATTTGCAAAGGCTCCAACCTTCTAGATAATTCCAAATATAGAGAGTCTCACTACCTTATGATGAATTCTATCTATTAATATCTTTAAGGACAGAGTATACAAAATAGAGAACAGTGGATCACCCTGGGGAATACCTTTATCTAGAGAGAATACTATTCCCTAATAACTATTGCACATAAGTACCACCCTACTCTCTTTCAGTAGGCTGATCATTAATACTCAGAACTGCTGAGAGACTCCAATCCTATCCAGTATCTTTATCAATCAGACTCATCAGACATAATCATAGGCTTTCTCTTGATCCAGGAAGACCAATCTCCCATCTAGCTTACAGGCTTAAGTCTCTTCAATAATATTATAAACCCAAGCTATATCATTCTAAATAAGTCTATCTCCAATAAAGCCCTATTACTCCTCACCTAATACTTGCTAGGTAATCTTCTGCAGTCTTGTAACAATTATCTTAGTGACTATCTTTCTATCCATATCCAGAAGCATGATCAGTTGCTAGTTCTTCCAATTCTCTCTCCTGTTCTTATCCTTATATAACAATACTACCAGCCTCAAATCCTATCCTCTCACTCACTTTCCTGACTATAATACTAAGTTACAAAGCACCATCATCTCTCTCAGTATCCTAGGAACTTCTATCATCTTCTTCCAGAAGTCCCAGGGCAGACCATCCTCTCCTGGTGCAGTGTCCAGCTTAGTCATAATAAGAATCTGGTGAATCTTCTCCTCCTGAACTAGCAGTATCAAACTGCCAAGCCTATCTACTTGTAGTGGGTATCTATCCTCCAAAGTGTATTCAATGGTAGTACCCTTCTCCTCACTTCATAGACTACTTCACCTCTCCTTCAGAGAGTCTAAAATGTTTTGTGAACTATACACCAGTAAACTCTCAGAATCCAGGACCCCCTCTCACCTCTGCCTCACCTTCTTATCTAAAGAAGTCTTGAAAGGTACTTAGAGGGCCTCTCTTCCTCCTCAAGCCCCTACCAATACAGCTGTACAGCCATTTCTCTCACAAGAGTCTTCTTCTCCTCCTTTAACACCTGTTGTAACTCAGTGACCTCTAGCTTTGCTTGCATCAACCTCCAATCCTCTACTCTCTCCAAGGCCAAGAGATCAGCCCATTTCTCCTGAAGCTGAGCCAACTATAAGTTTGTATATCTGATATATGTATCTCTGAATGATAAGATCACCATACCTAATGATGACATCATGAAAATTTGTCTATAGAGTAAGGGATATATATTTTTTATATTTTTTATAATTTTTTTTATAAAAATAAAAATAAAAATAAAAATAAAAATAAAAATAAAAATAAAAAAAAAAAAAAAAAAAAAAAAAAAAAAAAAAAAAAAAAAAAAAAAAAAAAAAAAAAAAAAAAAAAACTATATAGTTAGTTTTTTGTATTACTTTTTTCTTAACATCCTATATCTGAGGTTTATAGACTGGGTGCACTGTACAAAGTGCGTGATCACTGTAACGTAATTATCACACGATGAAAAATTAAACTGGTCTATCCTTCCATCCACTCATCCATCCACGCACTCATCCATCCATTCTTAGCCCTGTGCACCACCCTATGACACCTTGTGATTCGTCCCTCTGTCGTTGAGGCGAGAGACCCAGGTCTCCCGGACCTTCCAGCAAGGTGCGGTGTGTACGGCAATGCGATGAGGCAAATGTGCGTGTCGCGTGTCGTCGGAACTTCAACTTTTGCAAGGTGTCTGGGGCTGCATCAGGCCTCTTTTGTGCTCCAAAGGAAAACCTCGTATAAGGTGGTATTTGGCCGACCAACAACCCCTTCTACCATCAATTGTTAAATGAACCCCGGTCTGGGTAGCCTTCCCAAGCCCACTGATGAGGCCCCTTGGCAGGGGCCGAAACCGAAAGAACTGTTTCTTCCTCATTTCCAACATTACCTGCCATATCCGTTTCTTGAGCATTCATACTCCCCTCTGCTTGCGTGCATTTACCCTCTTCGGCCAGTTTTTCGTGCCTGAAGGTGTCCACTCATGAGTCGAGCTGTTCCTGCCTCCTGTCCTTTCTTTTACTTCCCCCACTAAACTCCCCCACCTCGTTTCCGCGAACTAGTGTAGAGGTTGCACGTGAGATTCACCAACCGCGTGGTTCTCGAGGGATGGTTCGACTCCACCGTTTGCAAATAGGCAATATCATGCTACTATTTATTCAAAATCCTATAAGAAACACACATACAATAGCATGACCTTCTCCATGTTGCAGTCCAATATAAAATAAAATCAATCGACTTTCACTACATGTTTATAAGGGGCAAACATGATTACCTACAACCAAACCTGGGAAGCCATCCAGAATTATATATATATATATATTATTCAAATTCACCTACACTACGATCTAAGGGATAACGTCCAGCAAGAGCATACAACGCACCATGCGATCATGTGATCATTCAGCCCTGGGGAAACGCAACCATCTGCATGAGAACTCGAGCACTTGATGCCGCAAACTGAACTCCATATAAAACGAACATAAACTTACGTGGTTCGGCTGGTTGCTTTCTTCAACATCTCCTCGACCTCGGCCTTGTCCACTACCAACAACTTCTCCTTAATCTCACCAACAACGATATCTCTTACCATCGTGGCGTCCAGAATACCACGGCTTGCCGCGTCGGCATTTTCGGATTCAAAATCTGTGAATTCAAGGCGAATACCGCTTTGTTCCTGCAAAAACAAACGTCATGTGTAAATCCTACTGCAATTCGTCATAGAACAAAAATTCAGCAAAGCGAAAAGTGAGTTCGGAACATACTTCGACACTGAGCCCAAGCTGAGCCATTAGCCTTTTGCGCCACTTATCAGTCTTTTCAGTGTTAGTGAGACCATCTGAAGCATCCATTACTCGGCAGGCCTGAAAACTCAATGCAAATAGCAATAGCAAAATGAGGAACTGAAAGCTGAGCTTCATAAATCGGTCTTGCTCATACGTACCTTGTTCATGCAAACGATAATCCGGACTTGTCCAATATGATGCCTGACGGCATTAATAAATTCACTTAATCCCGTTGTCGCGCTTCCTTCAAATGGGAAAAAACACAAGATCACGGACGCCAAGGCGCAGCACTTTGTCATGGCGTTACGCGAAAGCGAAGTATCTGGGCCAGATGTGTCGGACTCGTTGATCGTGTTGAATCCCGGAAAGTCGACGATTGTGAGGTTGTCAAATTCATAGGTGGTGATATGGCGAGTGTGCGATCCAAGCCCGATTCCGATTGTGCTCGCGTTAGGTAAATCCCATAATCCAGGAAACATTTTCGTCAGTGCTGTTGTTTTCCCCGAATTCTGAGGGCCGATGGCAGAAACAAAGGCGTTCGAAATCATCTTCTTGCGGATTTTATGCAATAAGTTGATCCATTGAATTCGTTGAACTGCGGTTTTGATTGAATCAGGCCTTGCATTGTGGAACAGATCGTTTTCTTCGACACGAAAAGGTCCGTCTGCGACTATGCTATCATCGTCCATAGTGTCGTATCCAAGTGATTTCCATTTCAATGCAAGGGCCTCCTCGACGAGATACGGAGCATCCAAAGCGATATTCATGCTTGACGCCGAATCGTTCATTTTCAAATGTTCGAGAAGCGTTTTCACGAGCAAGCGATAGGAACGCTCATTCTTGTAAAGTAGGCGCTGATGACATGTTTCCTCCACGCCCACAGCACCAGCGAAACCGAGGGCAGCTCCAATGGCTGCACCAGCACCAGCACCAGCTCCAATGGCTGCACCAGCACCAGCACCAGCTCCAATGGCTGCACCAGCATCATTGGCTACTACACCATCTTCTACTGCGGATTCTACTACAGCTGCGCCTGCTGCTCCACCGACAGCAAGTCCACCTATGATGAGCGCAGTGGCAAGTAAATAGAATGCGAGGCCCTTATTCTTATTGATAGGTAAATCCTCCCCAATCGAGTCGAGAATCTTCTTGCACAATGGCCACGTATGGCGCTCGAGATAGAGTAGGCCGTTCTCGATGGCCATGTTTTCCGAGTAGCAATGTTTGATCGCACCGCGTATTCTGGATCCTCCAAGGATGGCTCGTTCGAGTTCGTCGATGGCGTCCAGAAGGTCGCATTTTCCATCACCGTCCTTTTTGAGGCTGATGTAGCATCTCTATGTAATAAACACCAAAACTTGAACGTTCAAATATGCTCATGGCCTGAATTCACAATCCACATGCGCCAATATATCGCCCAACAGAAATATCTACCTGAATAGCCTTGGAAAGCACATCTGGGATGGGTTCGTCTCGTAAAAAATGTTTTTCTTGTAATAGAAACAAGACATCACCAAAGTGCGTAGTAACCCTGAGGGTTGTTCGGGTGTTGTCCACTATTCATTTGAAAGGGAGATGTCAGTACGCGATTCCTAATTAAGAAAAGTGATGATAAACCCGAGAAATACATTATGTACCTGGCTTTGCGCTATCCACGCACCCTACGTTTTGGTAAGTCTGAAGATGGTTAGCTTTGCGTTTGTAATTAAGGATGTTCCACTTTAGCGAATTTACAAATATTTTAATAATCAACTTGCCTTCCACGATAATTACATTCGGATCTTTAGCATTTCCTGGACCAGCTGTGGAATTCAACGACAGGCTCAGGGGTGTTCCGTCAGTGTAATAATTTTCCAGCTGGACGCTCGACAAGAATTCTAAATTAGTCCCTCTCGCGTCGATGACGAGTTTTTTATCAGTTTGTTCCACGCGTATCTCTGCCGTGACCAAATGAAGAGTGGGGTTGTATCGCCTACCACGACGGACATCAATTATATTTGGAGAACGTGCACCGCTGGACACATTGCGCTCGGTGTTCGAGATTTCCCCGAAGTCGAGCGCTTCCGATCCGCATAGACAGCCATGATACTCGCTGAGGCCGTGATTCCTGATGGTCTCCCTAGTCAACAACGTAGTTTCAAGTAGTTCCACAATCTTTGTCTTGTTTTTCTCAAAGTTGATGGTGTATGATCCATTTTCAGAGCGAGTGCAGAAAATCCACCACCCAAACGGGGCGTATATCTCTTGTATATTGGTCTTGATCCGAAGAAGGATCTTCAGGGAGTCGTGAGCCGTGTCCAGCTTGTCGCCAAATTCCGTTCCGGGATGACCTGTTCGAGAAAGTTGGCAACTTGGTTTGCTTGATCGAGGATTTCGGATCTATTCGACTTTTGGCCATAGATATTTTCGATTACGTTAAGACTTCTGTTGGAATTCTCCCCCCCCCC